ATGGGCTCAAGTATAGCAGGGATTGTGGGGCTGGCGTGGGATCGGGCAGTGTTTCGTTCTGCTGTGCATGGGGTCACTATGAGTTGGAAACAACTCGACGGCACTTAACAACAACAACAACAGCACCACTCGAGAATCTCCAAGCCATGTCATCTGGGCCGTCACGGTCGCTCAGGTCGCTGCCAGACCACAGCTCCGTGTGCCTCCTTTTTTGGTATTTTCACACAAATTCTTCTGCTAGTTGGGGTTTAGTCCACTTTTGTATCCTTCCCTTCAAGGCTCGGGGGTCTAAGATTATCTTCTGTGTCTGTGTTTATTGGGTTACCTTTTCTTTGTTGAAGAGGGTCTGTGCAGTCCTTCTGCCTAGTCTGCCATCTTGCCGGAACCCAATGTCAGTTTTTAACTCTCTTTTCAATGTCAGTTTTTAACTCTCAAATTCTACTGAATATAACTCAGTTTTTTAGTTCCAGCAAATTAAAACTTCTTTTCAACTGCAAGGCCTATCTCTTAGTCTGGCCCCTTGATTAGAAATTGGGAATGGAACCAAAAAGAAAGAGCAGAATTGCTCAGGTATGCAATGAATTGGATAAAATAAATATGAAAAGAAATGGTACAGAAATGAAATGGAGGTTGGGTATGATAGAATGTAAACTCTTAAGTCTTTCAAGAGCTCTCAATTATACCCAGAAACATAAGAACTAGGTGCACAGTGGTAGAAAATATAAAATCTTCCTTAATAATCCATTTGTTTATCCGTGACAGAAGGCTGAGGATAAAGAAATAGTAACAGAGTTTAAATTCTCCTGGAATCTGTATTTCTAGGATCAGTGGAGTAGGGGTGACCCACCGCCAAAGGGGCAGGGAGGCCACAACTTTTGACCTCCTCTAACCCCGCAAGAGGAAGACAGAATCACCATCAGTAGCCCAAGGCCTATTCCTGCAAGGCCAGACATGCCACCTCCCCCCAGGCCTTTTACCAACCCTGACACCAACCTTTCCTCCTGCAGCACCCACTACCTCTTTTCTGGGTTCGATAATTTGCTGCAGTGGCCACACAGAACTCGCAGATTATGAGATTTATTAGGTAAGCACCAGGCTACAATTCAAGTTCAGGAACAATGCTCAATCTCTCTCAGCCTGCCATCTCTCAGCCAACAGTCCCAGTCTCTTTCCGAGCAGTGCATGTCTCTTGGTGTCTCTCAGCAATGTGTGTCTCTCGGTGTCTCTTTCTCAGCAGCACATGTCTCTCAGGAGCATGTTTCTCTCATCAGCTTGTCTTTCACAGCCAGCAGTCAGAGAGCCTTCTTCTGCCTCTGGGAGACCTCCTTTTGAGCCTGGCAGAGTACCCAAACTAACCAACCATAACATCAGAATTCTGAGCACCTGAGAGAGAGCGAACTTCCCAGAACATTGCTTTGTGCCACTCTCAACAGAAATACCCCAGGTGGATAACTTTAACAATCAGGAGCTCCTCAATTGCTCACAGCAAATTCCACCACAGAGTTTACAAAGATTTGTGGCTAGAAAAGCCATACCAGGTAATTTACTACACCGCACCCACCCAGGCTGGAGGTGATCTTTGAACTTTGAGCTTTGAGCAGATTAATCTCCTAAAAGTCACCTTTAAGTTAAACAGAATCTTGCTAAATAATAAAGACCATTTTACCTCGGATATTGTGCTCTTTTGGAGAATTATACATGTGCCCTCAGTTTCAAGAAATGGGAACTCCAGGGTCTGACTGCAAGCTATGTTTTAGGATAAACTGTTATTATGTAAACAGTATTTCCCAGTCCTTTCTCATGACAATGTTAATAAGATGGGGTATAAGAATCTTTGGGTGATCTCTCGTCTTTGGAACATTGTTTATTCCCTAGTCAAAATGTTTTCCCAATTTCTAAGTTGTATACTAAATAAACTTCAATCAGTTTCTGTTATTGGCTTAATATGAATTTTTGTTTTAACAGAAAGCAAACGCATTTGTTCAGTATCCATATCTTAGTACCTTAGTATATAGGTGAGAATTTTGCCGACCAGTGCTATTTCACCACCAGTGCTATTTCATCATCATCTTTGTCTTTATCTGGATGAATTATCTTCCAGATTTTTAGTCTGAAATCCTCAGAAACTCCTTCCACGAACTGTAGTCAGATGACATTCCCTCTGAGGGAGCAAAGTGTTTATTGCCCTTTTGGAAAGGACAAATTTCCACGACAAATGCAGGCTCATTTATGATTCCTCTGCAGCGGTGTTAACGTGTACATTAGTATCAATAGTATTTTATAACTAACAACTCTCTATTGAGTCCAGATCAAAGGACTCAACCTGTAAGGCAGTGAGGAAGAGAAGAAAAAATACAGAATTTGGAATTTGGGTCTTAGCTGTGTGACCTTGAACAAGTTATTTAAACTTCTCTGTATCACAGCTCCTTCATCTGTAAAATAAAATGATTTATTCTTTACAGGGTTGTTTTCTTTCTTTCTTTCTTTTAAAATTGTGATTTGGGTGAAGTTTATGAAGCAAATTCATTTTCCATATAGCAGTTCATACACATTTTGTTTCATGACTTTGATAGCAATCCCCACAATGTAACAGCTCTCTTACCACTTCTCCCTGTGGTATTCTTTTCCCTGTGTCCTTCTTTCCTATGCATTCCCGCCCTCTGAGCTATCTCCCTGTGCAAATTCTGCTCTTCTCCTCTCCCATGATTGATTGTTCTAAGGAGTGTGTACCTACCTGGTATAAATGTTCACCTTATATTGCCTCTCTCTTGTTTGGCTGGAAGCCATGGGAGCGAGTTCAATTCCAGTCCTGAAGGGTGACTAGAGGCCATAGTCTTAGAGGTTTCACCAGTCCCTGTCAGGCCAATAAGTCTAGTTCTTTTTATGATTTTTAGTTTTATTCCATAATTTTCTCACACTCTATCCAGGATCTCCTGCACTGATTTCTTTCTGATGGTTGACAGCGGTACCAAGCACATCTAATTCTTCTGGTCTCTTGGTCATGTAGGCTGAGGTTTACATGGTCCACTAGTCCCTTGGACCAATTGTTTCCTTACATCTTTGGTCCTCTTCATTCTTCTTTGCTCCAGACAAGGAGAGACCAATTGTTCCATCTAGATGGCCACTTGCAAGCTTCTAAGACTCTAGTTGCTAATCACCAAAGTAGGATGTAGAACGATGTTTCTTTGTAGTATGTTATGCCAGTTCTTATAGGGTTGTTTTAAGGAGTAAGAGAGATAACTAAGAAATATTTCTGTCTCAGATGTGTTGGTCTTTTTACCTTATGTACATACAATCCCCCCAATTGAACAACAACAGAAAAATTCCCTATGATGCTAAAAAACTAGAGGTCTAAAATTTGTAAAGCTTTGAAATTTACCTTGTGATTTAATGTACATTAATTACCCTCAGGAAACTCCTAGATCAGAATATAAATGAACTACAAAGGCAAGTGAGAATCTTACAGGATAAAGAGAATCAACTAGAACAAGAGACTCTACTTAAACAACTGGAAAATGAAAAAAGAAAATCTGATGAGGTAAGAAATAGATATCCTTCTCAATTTTCCTATTCCCATAGACTGAATAATAGCTAATAATGGCTAATTATTATTGATTGTATAGCATTTTACCCACTGATTTCTGGATTCACTCAGGAAAATGAAATCTACTCTAGGGATTTCAAGCAATTAGATGTTTAACAGAGAATACGATACTTATAAAACTGTTAGAAAGGAGAATTGGGAGTCAGTAAAAAGAAAGAATGCCTACTCACTTTTAATAAATTCAGGAATTATAGGGAAGCCACCTCCTGTAGCCACAGTGAAATTTCAGAAACTCCCCCTGGAGGCTCATACAGCTATTTCTTTGTTGTCTACTCATTTTTCTAACCATTAGTGCTAGAGGAAAACAATGGTTTTTCCTTCTCTTATGCTATCAGTTTGCCATACTGTGATGGCCTGCATGTTGCTGTGATGCTGAAAGCTGTACCACTAGTATTTCAAATACCAGTAGGGCCACCCTGTGGACAGATTTTGACAGAGCTTCTAGATCAAAACAGACTAGGAAGAAGGATGTGGTGGTATACTTCTGAAAAAATTGGCACTGAGAACTTTACAAATAGTAGTGAAATATTGTCTGGTACAATCTTTGAAAATGAGCCCCTCAGGTTGGAAAGCACTGAAAACACAACTGGGGAAGAGCTGTCTTCTTAAAGTAGAATAGCTCTTAATGATGTGGATGGAATAAAACTTTTGGGACCTTCATTTGCTGATGTAGAATGACTCAAAATGAGAAGAAACAGCTGCAAACATCCATCAATGATTGAAACATGGAATGTACAAAGAATGAATGTAGGAAAATTTGAAGTTGTGAAAAAATGAAATGGAACACATAAAGCTTGATATCTTAGACATTAGTGAGCTGAAATTGATGGGTATTGGCCATTTTGAATTGGATAGCTATGTGGTCTGCTATGCTGGGAATGACAAGTTGAAGAGGAATGGCATCACATTCATCATCAAAAAGAAAATTTCAAGATCTATCCTAAAGTACAGTGCTGTCAGTGATAGGATAATATCTATACACCTACAAGAAGATCAGTTAATACTATTATTTTCAAATTTATGCACCAATCCCTAAAGCCAAAGATGAAGTAATTGAAGATTTTCACTAAGTTTTGCAGTCTGAAAGACTAAACATGCAACCAAGATATATTGATAATTACTGATGATTGGAAAGGGAAAATTAGAAACAAAGAAGAAGCATCAGCACTTGGAAAATATGGCCTTGGTGAGAGAAATGATGCTGGAGATCTCATGATAGAATTTTGCAAGATCAATGACATTCACTACAAAAACCTTTATTCAACAACATAAACAGTGACTATACACGTAGATATATTACTGGAAAACTTCATGAATAGCCCTACAATAGTCTGATATAGTGCTGGAAGATGAGCCCCTCAGATCGGAAGGCACTCAAAATAGGACTGGGGAAAAACTGCCTCCTAAAAGTGGAGTTAACCTTAACAATGTGGATGGAGCAAAGCTTTCAGGACCTCCATTTGATGATGGGGTAGGACTCGAAATGGGAAGAAATAGCTGCAAACATCCATTAATAACAGAAACATGGAATGTACAAAGTATGAATGTCGGAAAATTGGAAGTTGTAAAAAATGAAATGGAATGCATAAAGATTGATATCCTAGGCATTAGTGAGCTGAAATGGACTGGTTTTGGGCATTTTGAATCAGACAAGCATATGATCTACTATGCCTGGAATGATAAATTGAAGAGGAATGGCGTGGCATTCATTGTCACAAAGAATGTTTCAAGATCTATCCTGAAATACAGTGCTATCAGTTATAGGAAAATATCAATATGTCTATAAGGAAGACCAGTTAATACTACTATTACTCAAATTTATGCACAACCACTAAAGCCAAAGATGAAGAAATTGAAGTTTTTACCAACTTCCACAGTTTGAAATTGACCAAACATGCAATCAAAATGTATTGATTATTACTGGTGATTGGAATGTGAAAGTTGGAAATGAAGAATCACTGGTAGTTGGGAAATATGGCCTTGGTGATAGAAATGACACTGGTAATCACATGATAGAATTTTGTAAGACCAACGATTTATTCATTGCAAATACTTTTTCTCAATAATACAACTGACAGCTATACATGTGGACCTCGCCAGATGGAATACACAGGAATCAGATCTACTACATCTGTGGAAAGAGGCAATGGAGAAGCTCACTATCTTCAGCCAAAACAAGGCCAGGAGCTATTTACATGAAAGTTCAAGCTGAAGCTGAAGACAATTAAAATAAGTCCATGAGAACCAAAATATGACCTTGATTGTATCCTGTGGTAGTTGGAGCTGTGTGTCAACTTGGCTGGACCACAGCCTCCAGTTTGACGTTTGATCCAAGAACTTTGGACTTGCCAGTTTCTATAAGTGTGTGAGCCATTTTCCTAAGATAAATTTCTCTTTCTCTATATATATTAGCTTTACTGGTTCTGTTTCTCTAGAGAACCCAGTCTAACACATATCCCAACTGAATTTAGAGATCTGAAGAATAGATTTGATCCATTGAACACTAGTGACCAAAAATCAAATGAATTGTGGGATGACATCAAGAACATCACACATGAAGGAAGCAAAAGGTCATTGAAAGGCTAGGAAAGGAAGAAAAGACTAAAATGGATGTCAGAAGAGACTCTGAAACTTGTTCTTGAATGGAGAGTAGCTAAAGCAAATGTAAGAAATGACAAGATAAACAAACTGAATAGAAGATATCAAAGAGCAGCTCAAGAAGACAAAATCAATTATTATAATGAAATGTACATAGACCTGGAGTTAGGAAACCAAAAGGGAAGAACACACTTGGCATTTCTCAAGCTGAAAGAACGGAAGAAAAAACTGAAGCCTTGAGTTGCAATAGTGAAAGATTATACAGGTAAAATACTGAATGATGCAGGAAGCATCAAAAGAAGATGGAAGGAATACACAGAGTTACTGTACCAAAAATAATTGGTTGATGTTCAGCTATTTCAGGAAGTGGTGTGGTTGTTATGTTTGTGCATCAACTTGGCTGGGTCTGGTTGAGTGGCTGGGCAGCTGGTGGTGGTTATTCACCATGATGAAACTGGCAATCAACTCCATGGTGGGGTCTACCACAAGCAGCTGAGTAGCTGCTTTGGGTATGTGGTCTGCTTCCCATATGTAAGAAGCAGCTTTGGGAATCATCTCTAGCTTATGGCACGCTTGGACCCTACATGTAGCCATGTCATTGTCCAGTAGCCTGCCATGCTCTGCCGACCTTGGGACTTACAGTGGACTTGAATCAATGGCCTGCCGTGTGTTTTGGTAACATCGGGACTGTGCCATTTTATTTGTCGAGCTTGGGCTTGTTAGCCTCAGCAGCCAGTAGCTGCCTGAGTGAAGAGATACCTCTAGCTTCAGTGGGCCAGGAACAAGAGGCAGAGCTGAAGCCCAAGGTTGAGGGGCTTTCACACAGCCCCTGGAGCCTGGCACTTTGAACTCGGATTCCTAGCCTCCTGAACCATAAGAGAATAAACTCCTATTTGTTCAAGGACTTCCCGTTTGTGATACATTCCTTTCAGAGCAGCATTACGTAACCAGACCAGGTGATATATGATCAACCAATGGTACTGAAGGAAGAAGCCCAAGCTGCACTGAAGGCATTGGTGAAAAAACAAGGTTCCAGGAATTGATGGAATGCCAATTGAGATGTTTCAACAAATGGATGCAACACTGGAAGCACTTGCTAATTTGTACCAGGAAGTTGGAAGACAGCTACCTGGCCAGACAACTGGAAAAGATCCATAGATGTGCCTATTCCATAGAGAGGGGATCCAAAAGAATGCTGAAATTATCCAACAATATCATTAATATCACACACAAGTAAAGTTTGCTGAAGATAATTCAAAAACAGTTGCAGCAGTGTATTGACAGGGAACTGTCATAATGTAAGCTGGATTCAGAAGAGGACGTGGAATAAGAGATAGCATTGCTCATATCAGATGGATCTTGGCTCAAAGCAAAGAATATCAGAAACATGTTCACTTATGTTTTATTGACTATACAAAAGCATTTGACTGTGTGGATCATAACAAATGATGGATAACATTGAGAAGAATGGGAATTCCAGAGTGCTTAATGGTGCTCATGAAGAACCTGTGCATAGACCAGCAGACTGTCCTTCGAACACAACAAGGGGATACTGCATGGTTTAAAATCAGGAAGGGTGTGCATCAGGGTTGTACCATTTAAACATGCTTATTTAATCTGTATGCTGAGCAGATAATCCGAGAAGCAAATGAAGAAAAGCATGGCATCAGGATTGGAGAAAGACTAATTAACAACCTGTGATATGCAGACGACACAACCTTGCTTGCCAAAAGCGAAGATGACTTGGAACACTTACTGATGAAGATTAAAGTCTACAGTCTGCAGTATGGATTATACCTCAACATAAAACAAAAATCCTCACAACCAGACCAATAAGCAGCATCATGATAAAGGGAGAAAAGATTGAAGTTGTCAAAAATTTCGTACTACTTGGATCCACAATCAACACCAGTGGAAGCAGATGATTTCAAATCTAGTCAAATCTGCTACAAAAGACCTCTTTAAAGTGCTGAAGAGCAAAAATGTGTCTTTGAAGACTAAGGTGCACCTAACCCAAGCCATGGTATTTTTAATTGCCTCATATGGATGTGAAAGCTGCACAATGAATAAGGAAGACCAAAGAAGAGCTGATGCTTTGGAGTTGTGGTGTTGGCAAAGAATGCTGAAAGTACCATGGACTGCCAGAAGAACCAACAAATCTATCCTGGAAGAAGTGCAGCCTGAATGCTTCTTGGAAGCAAGAATGACCAGACTTCATCTCACCTACTTTGGTCATGTTGTCAGAAGGGACCATTCCATGGAGAGGGATATCATGCTTGGTATAGTGGAGGGTCAATAAAAAAGAGGAAGACCCTCAATGGGATGGATTGACACAG